TGTTTGTAAGGGAGCTTCTGTAGGCGCTGTGGAGGCCCACAGCTGCTCCCAAACCTCAGACGATCATCGACTGTGGCCACATGATTCACCACAACCTCACAATAAAGAAGCTGCCCCTGTGGATTCTTTTAAAAAGCAGTCAAAAACTGGTCTTCTGTTGAAGACTCTTTTATTGAATTGTTATTTACTTATTTTAAAACTACCTGTTTATTTTACTGTGTCTTATATTTTTCTTTGGCACCTAATCTTCATGTTTATTTTAGCCTCGTGTATAGTGCTTTGTGCCAAACTTAAACTTTACTTATCCCCAAAACACAACCTCTGATAGTAATTACAACCTTGCTCCAACAGGGGCATTGTCCAGATATGCGGGTAATTTTACAAGAACATGAACAGGGCCAGTGTTATAGTCTAATATAGTACATTTATTATTTATACTTCTACTTTATTTCTATATTATTCTACTTTCTACTCTTACTCTATTTTATATGTAAATACGATATTACAAATATAATTTGATTTTAAAATATACAGCTAATAATATAGGAGAGATCAGACTATTTCCCTCGGGATGAATAAAGTATTATCAATCCATCAATCAATCGGTAATAAAGTAATTAAAATAATCTCCAGCTGCAATATTACAGTTATAAAAATTATTAAATGAATAATCATGATTCTGGATGATAAGTACTTTAAGTATATTTAATGATACAACTTTTAAATCCTCTCAGTGTCTTTATATGGAAACTGCACTGACATTATTGCTTACTTAGTGTTTCCCAATAAAAACTGCCAGCTGAAGGGAGGACTGAAGATCCAAGTCAAATACTAAAATAATGACATTTTTACAAGAATAATATAATACAGGCATAAAATACTATTGTTTATCTACATGATAGACTCACCCACTTATTTAGTTCGCCTATATTTTAAGACGGTTCTATCCAGTTATATTTTTTGTAAACTGGTTCATTAAATGTGAAAACTAGGACATTTATTAAAGGTAGGAAAAATTTAGAGTTTGCTTTAAATCATATTGAGCTATATGTCGACCATAAACTTAAATGAAAATAACAGAAACAGTTTCCACATCCGCTTTAAACAGTTATTCATCAAACCATTTTCACACTCTCATAAACTCTATTATAGCACAGGGATCTGCAATGCTTTCTACTTTCATTTACGGTCTACATTATATTTTCTGATTTCCCGTGAATCCCCTCTTGCTTTGTGCCACCCCATAAAAAAAATAAATAAATAAAAAAAAATAATAGGAAGGGGAAGAGGCGATTTCATTGACTTTTCCTTATTTATACGCCTAAGTTCATCTCTTAAGTTCAACAAGATACTACACAAGAAATTTTGGTGCCCACAGTGCTAATAATCTTCGTCTTAGTCTAGACCAGGGGTCCCCAATCTCAGTCCATGAGGGCCGGTGTCCCTGTAGGTTTTAGATGTGTCCTTGATCCATCACAGCTGATTTAAATGGATAAATTACCTTCTCAACATGTCTTGAAGTTCTCCAGAGGCCTGGTAATGAGCTAATCATGTGATTCAGGTGTGTTGACCCAGGGTGAGATCTAAAACCTGCAGGGCCCCCGGACTGAGATTGGGGACCCCTGGTCTGGAACTAAGAACTAAACTGGTGACATGCATACAGAACAGCTTACTATCATCAAGTGCATCAAAACAAAATCTTAAATTGACGGGTTCAACATAAGGCCAAATGTAGTAAATAAAAATAACCAGAAAAAAGAAAGAAAATTTAAGGATGTATTATGTGGGGGGAACGATATTCTCTGTGATCAAAGTTGTAGGTTTCTTTAGGAAACAAACAAAAAACTAAGAAGAAGAACAGTGCATGTTGATGGTGAAACTTTTTCAAATAGCTTTGAATGAAATTTTCAGGCTTATGTGAAGAGCCATTTTGCACATAAAAGCTTCTATTTGAGGGAATAGGATGGTTCGTAGTTCGTTTGTTTTCTATATTACTTTTCTACAATTATTTTCCAGTGAGCCAACCCTGTCTCATTCTCGGTCCCTCTGTGTCACCCCATTAAACCCCCCCTGGAAACGCCCCTGCTCTCCTGTGAGTTATGTCAGTTTATAAAGAAGTCTCGTTGTATTAAGATTACTTTTTGTTAGTGTGTGTAATAACACTACTCCAGGGCCTTAAGCGTACCTATCTCTGGGGTCAATCCATGAAGTTTGCCGGGTGTTGTGGTCGATGAAAAACACTCTGCCATCGTAATCCCGGGCTTCCTCCCAGCCCGCGGGCAGCGGCAGTTCCGAGCTCTCTCTCCGCTTTCCGCCGCTGACCCACGGCATAGCGTCGAGACGGTGAGAGGGCTGCAGCCCCCTGCCCTGCTTTTATCCCCCTGAAAAAGTCGCTCCTCACTGCATTACAACCAAACGACCTGGACGCGCTGGAGAAAAGAAACGCAGATACAAAACTTTCCACCGAGGCTGGAAAAAGTCCCACCGGGGGTACATCCACTTTCCTCTTCTTCTTTCTACAACCCTCCAAAATCAGCGCGGCGGGGCTCTCTCAGTGCTCGTTTCTCCATGTTCGCCTTCTCCGCCATATTTCATTCCCCGTGTCCATATTCGGGAGCGGATTTGCATACGTACGACGGAGCCAGTTCCCCCTGTCCAATGAGGAAACTTCAGAGCTCAACACTTTCATTAAAGCTTCACGGCGCCGCGAAAACATACCTTATAAAATAAACTTAACGTTTCATTTTAATGTTAATTCAGCTGAGTGATTTAGCTAACGCTGCGACACAAACCTGTTGATTGACTCATTAATGTATCTCAAGAGTAGCTTCTGTTTGTGTATATACAATTTAAATAAGTAATTTTTAATATTAATATAAGACAGTTATAAAAAAGATATCATTTTAATATAAAATCTAGGGAAACTCCCCCGATCACGCTGTTGTTTGAAGGAGTCGTTTTAATGGTGCACCTGCGCCACCTCTTGGCCTTAATTGGCACTGCAACAGCTCATACACCGGCCACCCAGATCAACTTCCTGGCGTTTCAACTGTTTTACAATTATTCTTACTTAAGTAGCTAAAAGTAGATTCAAATATCAATCAATCAATCTTTATTTATAAATCACTTTTCATACAAAGATGTAGCACAAAGTGCTTTACATGGTTAAAAGCAGCCCACCCCACCAAATAATATCCAAATTACCTAAAATATGCAACTATCATCTTCTTCTTGTAGGTTTTCCCTTTTGTTCCCAAAGGGGATCATCTGCCTCCATCTGACCCTCTTCTTTGCATCCTCATCTGTCACACCAACCCTCTGCATGTCCTTCTTCATTACATTAGTGAATGTTCTGAGATCTTCCTCCTTTCCTCCTGCTTGGAAGCTCCATACTCAACATGCCTTGTCCAATATATCCACTATACCTCCTCTGTACTTTACATACTATATTAGTATAGTATTGTATGTACTAATACCAAATCATTTCAGGCTTGCCTCTTTAACTTTGTCTCCAAATTGGTCAATCTAAGATGTCCCTCTGAAATACTCAATTCTTATCTTCCCTCTTGGTTTCTCCCATTTTCAGCGAGTCAAAATTAAAAATTTACAATTAAGGTTTTTATAAGCTATGATAAAACAAATGGCAATAAAGTTTTTTTTATTATTACTTATAAGTTATGTATTGTTTATGAAAAAACACAAGAAGTAGAATGGTACAGAGGTACATAAAACACAATATGACTAAAACAGGCCAGGATCTTCTCAGCTGCGTCACAGCAAGAAGGACAAATACCTCCAATAAGTGTGTGTCTTTCTTTGTGCAGTAGTGAGGGGGTTTTCACTTAAATTTACAAACTATTTTGTGGTCAGCATAATTAACACTGTGCATCCAGCTAAGTTTAAAACTGTGGAAGAACAAGTTAGAAAGAGGATTAGGAGGAGCAGTAAAACCAGACACTAGGTGAGACTCTCTCTCAGAGTATTAAAAAAATACTCTTTTAAACTCTGAATAATATCCCCCACCACATGCCAATTTATTTATTTGTGCAGTATATTTGGCGGCCTCTGTGGGTAAGAAGGGGAACTGCAACTACACTTAAATTTTTTATATTTTCAGAGACAGAAATTAAGTTGGATGTGTAATGTGACATTCTTGGCCAGGAACATCATGAGTAACTTGTCTATAGCTGCAGAGACGTCCCTTTAAAGCTGAGATTAAGCTTGTTTCTGGTATCGTTTGGTATTCCTTAAGTGTTTGTGAGGACATCACAGCAGTCAGCTGAGTGTTTTCTTCGCCGGAGCAGGAGGAGTTTGGCAGCCCGGGGATGTTATCTGTGCATTTTTGTTTGTGTGTTTGTTTGTGGTTTGTACGGCTGTCTATGAGTTTATGAACGGGAAAAATTTTTCTCACATCTCAGCTTTGATCTATTGCCTCCTACGATCATTTCCCACAACCATGCAGTGTTCATACGAGAGCACACAATAAGCTGCTCTGTTGTTTCAGATTTAGTCACATGCAGCAGACAGCCTGACTGTGAGCAGCTATCCCACCACGAGGAATATGACAAAAATATTCATATATTTTTAAATTTAACTTAAATGGTTATGAGCAAATCTCAGCATTACTGTCCTTACATAACATTTTTCACTGGTAATAAATCACTCAAAGGCCTAGTTGTGCAACACTGCCTTTATGATACTCTAACACTGAAATGTTTTTCTAACCAGGCTACTCATGGCTACAGGAAAAACTCTTTGAGGACAGAGATGAAGGGCTTTAATGGCAACTAAGTTTATGACAAGAGTGTTTAGCATTTGCAAATAATAAGCTGAGTTTGCTGTAGTGTGTGGCCCCTTGTTCATATGTTTGTACCCAGTTATTGCTGGATTGCAGGATGCAAACTGAACTTCAAGCAGTTGTTGTTTTTTTTAACGACATCCCTTATGGCATGCAGTTTTGGAAGAGCATATAGGAATGGTCTTGTAAAAATCGTGGCCATCTCTGCCTCTGCCCCTGCTGCCCATTGGCACAGCAGCGAGAGCAGGAGGACCACAAAGGGGAGGGCCATGCGGGCCCCCCTCTCCCTCCAGCAGCAGAAGATGTGTGCTCCTCTGAGTGGGAACTGTTTGAGAACGAGCTCCAAGCCTCAGAGCTAGAGCGGTCAGCTCTAATTATCAGGTGTTTTGAGCAGTTCCTGTCCCGACTGCACAGCGACAGGCCTCTCCATCTGAAGTGCAGCCAGAGAAGGAGAAGAAGAACTCTTGTGGCTCTGTCAAGCGTGGAGGCCAGAGAGAGGGGGAGAGAAACATGGACACGTGCGCCTGCGCTTTGGAGCTGCTGGGGATGCTGGTCTACGTTGGAGCATGGCTGTGCGCTTTAACCACCACTATCTTACCGCAGTGGCTGACCATGAGCACTGCGCTGCTGCCTGTGGAGAGCTACGAGCTGGGCCTGTGGGAGACCTGCGTGGTCCAGGACGTTGGAGGGATGGAGTGTAGGGCTTATGACAGCCTGCTGGGCCTTTCCACAGACCTCAAGCTGGCCCGCATCCTCATGTGTGCTGCCCTCGCTGTGGGCATGCTGGGAATTCTCGTGGGAATACCTGGACTTGACTTGGTCCACAGCTGTAAAGAGGACAGCGGTCAACAAACCAAGAGGATTTTAATCATCACGGGAGGGGTGCTCGGGATGGTTTCTGGGGTTCTGTGTCTGATTCCCGTGTCCTATATGGCACATATAGCAGTGATGCATTTCTTTGATGACAAAGTGCCTGACGTGGTGCCTCGGTGGGAGTTTGGAGACGCTTTGTACTGCGGCTGGGCAGCAGGATTTCTCCTCATAGTTGCCGGCCTGATCTTGATCACCTCGTCCTCGTGCTCTCAGGTGGAGCCTCAGCCTGTGCTGCAGCGGCGGTACCAGGTGATGGGCACAGGTGTAAATTACAGGAAGCGCACAGAGTACGTTTAACAGATGATTTACCTGTGTAGAGACTGAAATCACAACACAATCACCTGTAGATCTGCACGTCGGACCGCTTTACAGCAATGATGTAAACCACCAAGACAACATACGATGGTGACATTTACACCTTGTTTCAGCCCTTTTACATGACTCACCTGCACAATCAGACATTATAAGACGATCTGCTGTGATCAGTAAGAATAAATCTATTTTATAAAGAAATGTTTTATAAAAGGCCTTTTTATCCATTACTCTGGAGTGGTTTCAAAATTTTTCTCTAACAGGAAAAATATGATTTCAAGCCTGTTTAGCAGGACTCTTAAGCTTTTTAAATGCTGTAATTGTCAATTATTCTTAGTCTGTAAACATACAGAATAACTCTTAAAGCACAAACTATTCTTGAGTTGCACACTGAGATGATTCACATAAAGAATTTCATTGCAATCCTGGTGAAAAATGGCTCTTTTTTTTATTAAAAAAGGTAAATTTCCTGTATTTGTTAAAATGTTTTCTGAAGCCATGAGCAGGTTTGACTCCAGTTATGTCAGAGGTAGAAACATGGCTGCTCTTTTCCTCAATCCCTCATCAGCCCCCCCTGCTCGTCTGTGACTCTCAGGCGACCGAATGGGACTAAAAACCTGTCCGTTGGTTTGTCAGGTGTGTCTGCGGCGGTGGAAACACAGCTTGAGTCTAATTCCACAAGATTTCCTGGTCACTCGCTGAGCTAAGCTGTGTTTAATGAACGCATTAATGGGCACTGTGTACTGTGAAGAATGTAGCACAAGCTGACATAATTACACAAATTTGCTGAGGTCAGAGGGTGCCACCGCGCTCTGCCATCCATAACTGTCTGTGTCATTTACATACGCTCAAAGTACATTGACATAACGTGTTATTGCATGGGAGGATGAGGATTTATAAACCTCCATGGTTGGTGCATGTCTGTGGAGTTAGTTCTTATAGGATGAAGCTAATGAGAGATAATGAAGTTGTCACAGGAGCATATGTTACCTGAGGTGCCAATGACATGCCAGACTTTGCTCCTGAAGAGATGGTTCTGAGGCCCACTGAGAGGGACAATCCTGTCCTCCGATGCCACATAGTCTCCCTATGTGTGGGCATCAGGGAGGCATAAAAACAGCTGCAGACATTTTCTTTTTGCTTTGTTTACTGTAAATGCCACTGAAACATCAAGGAAAATTATATGTCTTGTAGTCGTGAATAATTTACTCTAAATGCATCCGACTGCAAATAAACAAACCTGTGTAGATGGGTTGATAAGCAAACATGACCCAAATCATGACCCATTCTGGTAGTTCAGATGGAGATAAAGATCATCCAAGTTTCTGTTTCAATGTTAGATGATGGAAACTAAAGTTTTGCAATACATGAGTCACTCTTGAGCAAGATTTTCTATTTTAACCATTTACAAAACCATTTAACTATCTTCTGCACCTGATGTTTCGATTTTACTGGTAAAGTGTTGAAGCAGCAACTGTGAAATAGCAATAATTATATTTTATCACAGTTAAATATAAAGAATATCAGTTCATTAATATCATAAATATCAGCAAAATACAAAATTGCACAGGAATCACTACCAAGTGTAGTTAAAGTAAAAAAAGGAAAAGGACATCCATGGTACCTGAAATCTCCTTCTGTAAATACCGGAACCTTAGCGTGGGCTTTGAGAAAAATGCTATATACTAGATGTTTACTATTAAGTATTACGTTTAGCCTTTCTTTCATTTATTTTTTTTAAGTTATTCATATTTTAAATCATCAATTGCTTATAACTACAGTTTAATAGCTATTTTTTTTAAGCTAACAATTTCAACTGCTAATCTATCCTTTTAGCTAACAACATTTTATCTGTATTTTTAGCTTCGTATTTCAACTTTTAATTCATTGGTAAGAGTTTTAATTGGTAATAATATAAGAAAACAAATGTAATTGTGATAGCTAAAGACTTTTAGCTATCAATTTCAGTCGCTAATCAATACTTTGAGACAACGTTTTTTCCACCGCTGGCGACACGTGAACAGGCACAGAGTAATAAAACGATTTTGGTCTTGATTACTGAACATTGCCACTGGGAAAATACAGCGGCTTTAAGATATAATTGCTCATCTAGAGTTTTATTCCAGATCTTCTGCAAGTAAAATCTCATATTATGGGGTGAGATGTTATCCAGCTGCGGTTACCTTTGGGTTTAATTCTACAGACGTTGATATGACACATTTGCAATCAGTCTTCTTATCAGTTTTCCTCCATAAAACACCGTAAATGATAAAGATAGAGAACAAAGCACAACAGCTTTATCTGCTAAAGGATATGTACAGCACAAGTAAGATAGGTAGGTAGGGTTTGTGGAGACAGACGAACATTTTAGACAAATAATTATTTACTACTTTTTACAAGCCTGTTTTTTTAATAATAAAATTTGGTTACACCTAATTCAAATAGTAGTTTTCTGCAGTATTTAAAGCAGCTCTACTGGTCATCCACTTCTGAGCCTTGCGTTTCTGAGTGCTATGCTTGTCTGAAGAGGGCTTTTTGTTCTCCATCAGCTAGCCGCCTCCAGAGAGGTAGAGCCAGCCACAGGGCCAGTGTGTGTATGAGTGCCTTCCATGGTAACAATCACCCCAATGAAGCAGCCCCCTCTTCACGCTCACATGCCTGCTCTCGTCAGCCTCCTACCCAGGTCACGTGTGCGGGTCAACCTGGCCGACTCTCACCCCTCCTCACGCAGGACTCCTAAGAAGCCACACCTTGAAATGTTATGTCGCCTCCCACGGGCTTGTGTGGCAATAACACTGATCGTAACAGTTCTTACATAAAAGCTGAGGCCACTAACACACTCACACACATACACACCACTCCTCAGTAACAGAGATAAAGTTTATTATTACTTTTGTAGATAAGCAGCCATCCCTGAACTTCAATCAGTCACATAAACCTAAAATAGAAACTATAGGGTAAATAGTCACTGGCTTTTATTTTCAGTACAATGAAATCATTGTTTTTATGATAAAAGTACAATTGATCAATATCCCTTGTATGTTCACAAGGAATTTTAGCATCTTTTAGCTCTTTGTTTTGGTTTTCTGGTTGAGATATGGCAAGTCAGTCTTTTTTTTTTAGTTCTAGTATCAAACCTAGCCTCTTTTTAAAAAATACAAAACAAAACAAAAAGCCCTAAAGTCAGTCTCCCTTCATAGATTTTATTCTGTTGAGTTTTATTCACTGTGAAAGGCAGCGTTATCCATGCCTGCTCTATTTACCAGTTCAGACTTGCGTGGCAGTGTTGTCACTGTCCAGGGGCCATTGAGCTGGTCGCCAGGGCCCGCTGTGCTCACGGCCCGCCAAGCGTACCTGTAGCAAAGGAAAAGCAGGCCACTTAAGAGTGTCGCAATGGAGGCGCAGAGGCCCACTCCAATGGCTGAGCCAACTCGCTGGCTGACAGGAGGAGCAGGGATTTGGAACTCAGGAGGAAAGTCTATGGTGTTGTTTTTCAGCACAGAGTTCATGTTCCACGCCAGTGGCACCAAGGAGGACATCCCTGTGAGCAAATACAGCGCCCCTGCCAGCAGGAAGACCAGCCTGATGCTCCTGCGATCTTCAACAGAGAAGTAGGCCATCCTCACCGCCACTGCAGCACAGATGTTCCCGGCAAGACCAAAGATGGCCGCGAGCATCATCAGCACCTGAGCCACGGGGATCTCCACGGGAAGAAAGCTGTCCGATATGCTGATGCTTCGACAGTTCTCCACATCGGGAAGGACATGACTGTAGAAACACGTCCTCCAAATACCAACCCAGGCCTCGCCCGAGCTGATGATGGACGCATTGCCTACTCGCCAGAGACGCCACTCGTTGAGGCCGGCGGTGGTCATGGTGAGGATCCATGCCAGGAATCCGACTATTAGGCCCAGGAACTGCCAGTGAGCCGTGTGAGTGAGGTAAAGCATTGTTGTCCAGTCTGACCACTAATTCTCAGAGCGACCGATCGCTGGAGCCATCACTCCTGCTGCAAACAACAACACACACAGGGCGGTGGTAAGATGACCTGTGCGCTTCTCATGTACAAGTTAAGACAACGGCATTATTCTTAAATATTCATAAAGGGTATTTTGATTTGAAAAGAGCTCTGAGGGAACCTTTAAAGGGTTTGGTCACCACATTTAAGGCAGCATATTATTTCCATCTGCAGTCATTTAAACTTGGTGGTACATGAAGACAGTGGTATGATATGAAAGCTAGAAGCTGGGTTGCAAAGTGCACCATATAAAAGAACTCATTTTAAACTAGACCTGAACCAGGTTCATCTCATCATTTTTTTAGTGATTACATTTAGCTAACCATACGTTGATTCGTTTTTTTAAGGCTAATAATTTATGAAGTTACTCATTTTTCCATTACTTTTAATGACTACTTCAAGTGTCGCTCTTTATTATGTTTATTGAACACTCAAAAAAATATTTTAACTCATTGCTTGTCCAACTGAGTAAAGGACTAGATGTTACAATCCCTGACAATGCATTGCTTTAACGGAGAAAACCTTGGGGGATGGCTGTTATGAGGAAAAGCAGCCCAGAAACTTTACCAGCGGCAAACATCGTTGTGTGCCTCAACTTTCATTCTTTTACCCAGGCTAATCTGCCATTTTTCCTTGGTTAGGTTTAGGGATTAGAGATTTGATCTAAATTATCATATTAAAATTTGGGACACATCGTCAGTAGTGGACCTTGGATTTATCGGGTGTTTTGGCCATTATCACTAGACACCCTCATCCGAGGAGGCCCTGCCAGGGTTGATCAGGCCCCGGAGTGTGTCACTGGTTCATGTTAAAATTGTTCTTTCTCTTCTGCTTTCTGCTGTTTAGTTTCCTACAGTTTATTCTATCTATTCAATGCAACTGAAAAATACTTACCTCTTTAACATTTATGGAGTGCGAAGTTTCCTTTTCACTGCAGTTTGTGTCTTTAAAGAAAAATATTCAGGTGAACACTTTGACAAATAAAGAACCATTTCTAAATATTGCTGTGAACTTTTTGTATCTGTGCGTTGATTTTCTATGTAGTGTTTCTCGTTATACATACACGCTGTAGGTGAAAACTGCTGCATTTTATTTTGCAAGATACTTGAGGAGTTTTTGACCAGGATCATATGTTTAGAGCTGTGTGAAACTGAGCCACAGGTTCTGGAAATGTGTTCAAACTTTTGAGAAAAACCGTAATAAACATTTATCTAACCTGTTCGTCCATATTATCAGGCATCGATTTGATCTTTTAATCTATGCTCTCAGATAAAAATATCAACTGTTAACTCACAGCTTCTACCTTATATCCATGATTTTGTCAAGCCTGAAACATTTCAACTGCTAATGATATTTTTGTAGGATTTTTATTGTCATTTGAACAGGATGTAAAATTAAATTTTGCACTCAGGTCCAGGTCAATAAGAACAAGACTACATGAGAGATAGAACACATATTTACAGTCTCATTTGGTATAAATAAAACCCCCCAACTACTTTTAACTTTTCTATTCATAATTTAAACCTTTTCTGTTTATCGAATGTTTTTCCACTTATGTGAAAAGCTTTCTGTTCCCATTAAACCTTCAGTTAATTCCAGCTTTTTATTACTATTTTTTATTCTCTTAACTCCCAAATTATAATTTAGTTTATCTCATATTAATGTGAGTGTGTCCTAACTTTGGTTACAGCAGAAACATCTTCTCATGCCAAATACAGAGAACAGAAACTAATCAGTGACCGAAGTCAGTGTATTAGAATATTTAACCTGTTGCTGGAGATATTTTGATAACTATGCAAACGTTCCCTTTGAATAGACAGCAAAACATTAAAAAAATGTTTTATATATGTATAAGATAATGTAGCATTACATGTTATTATATTAGTTAGTAGTTTCGCTTTTTATTCACTCCGCTCACCCTGAACTACTGCACACGTTCTTAAAGGTAGTCTTTGTTTTCTTACGTTAACAGCGTGGACATTGATTGACTTTTATAATAAAGCAGCTATAAATAAAGCACAGGCATTAAGCATATGTTAACAAATATTCTGATTATTAATATTTAAGAATAACAGACAGCACTTAAAGCCACACATCTGCACTTTAGGTCACTAATTCGACTAAGTTCTGCTAAGATACGATCGGTTTAACATCTTCAGATTCAGTACGTTAAGGAGAACGACGTTACCTTCCGATGTTTCAAAAACAGAGTTCTGCCAGTTATTGTGAAACTAGGAACAAAGCTACAGTAGAAACGAGGAAAGAGCTCGTTTTATTGTAGCCGTACATACCGTCTGTGCCAGCACTGCTGTAGTTAATGATTATTCATTCAAATCTTTAAACCACTCCTAATAATATTTAATTATTTGACTCACCTAGATGCGTCTCACCTTATTAATAAAGATCGAATCCTTCCGATGAAGTGTGATTAGCTTTGGTTACGTGAAGGGGCTGTTAAATAAGCTCCCTGCTATGTAAGAGTGTTTATCAGTAGAGAGAGGAAGGTGTGGTGGAGTTAATGAATGACACCAGAGAGAAGAAGACCTCAGTCAGACTCTACAGCAGACTCGTTTATTTGACAGAAAGGAGCACAGCTGATAACGTTTTTAAGACATTTAGGATGTAGAAGTGCACGAAGTGTGTGAAACTGTAACAAACTGAAATGTGCAGGGGAAAAAAAAAGTTCTCCAGTATCTGGGAGACAGATTTAATCCATAGAGTCTGAAATTTGAAGGTTAAGGTAAAAAAAAAAAAAAAAGCTCTTTATCCATCTGAACATCTTTTAGTGTTGAGATTCAACTTCTGCACCATGAAAAACAAAACTGCGGTGACGTGAGAAGACGAAACAGAAACACCTGGTCAACATGTACATGGTGACATCATCCTGTGGATTTTTACACTTTTCTACCTGTGAATAAATCTAAAAAGCGCTCTGAATAATGCGACCTGCAGAAGTGGACTGAAGAGTGTGTGCAGTGGTTCTCGGCGCACTTCAAATGTGACCATTCAAGCCTGGACGTCAAGTGCTGCTTCTGTTTAGTGATGTTAAACACTCTCCTCTCTCTGCAGGTGCGTGCATCTTCATCTCGAGGAAATGTTTCTTCAGTGAGGAAAGCAGGGGCACGGATATTTTATTGAAAAAAAAAAAAAAAAAAAAAAAGGCCACTAGTTTGAGTGTAAAAGGTAAAGAATGATGAATTTACAGACATATTTAGCCAGATTTGACAGATCTCGTGACATTTATACTTGATAAATACTCTTAAATGCTCAGTGTGTAGCATGCATCAGCTAAATCGGTTGAAGATAAAATACTGTCTCCTCCAGATTCAAAAGGCTATAATAAATTACTAAAAAAAAATAAAATCATAAGAAACAAAGCAAAAATATCATAAAAGGGCATTAGTGGTTGGTTGCCCCCCCCCCAAAAAAAATACCACCATCTTTACAAAAAGAAAGTTTTGTGGAGTTTTTTGTGGTTGTCATGTACACGCATGCTCACAAAGTCAGGAAAATGCACCAAATAGGCTGTTTATGTGCAGATTTTCTTAACTATACCGCCATCTGCTGGCCACAGGGCTCATGTGCAGCCGAAACCACGTGACTCTCAGAGACCCAGCAGTGTCTGTCCTCCTCAGAGGGCCAGCCGCTGCTCTATGGGCAGGCTGTCCATCAGACACTTCAGCTGCTCCTCGCCCAGCTTGATTTTATCCTCGAGCTTGCGCTGCTCGATAATGAGCGCCGACTTCATCTTCACAAAGTGCTCGTAGTCCGCGAGGCTGTCCTCCTGCAGGTAGCTCGCCAGGATCTCGTAAACCACACCCTCTCTGCGGTCCAGGTTCTCCTTCAGCTCCTTTGCGTCCTCGTGCTGTCGGATCAGCAGCTTCCTCTTCTCAATCAGCGTACGCTGATGAAGAAGAAAGAGAGAGTGTGAAAGGATGTATATTAACTATCCCATATCAAATTATTCACTTGGTATCGATACATCTAAATAAATTTCCATCAAAAAGCTTCAACTTGTTAGATCTTCCTTCCAGTAGCTCCACAGATGCCTTAAAGTTCTTGATGTAATGAGAACAAAGGGTTCAGGATAGAGCTACTTTCCTTTGTCCTCTGTCCTCGGGTGAGCCCAGCACACGCTGCATCCTGTGTGAGCCTCTGAAGTACTGCCTATTTATTTATACATATAGTATTAGTCAAATCTGACTTATTCAATACAATAACTGAAACATTTTATGAAGCCATGCAAAACTTTCCATTCATATAATGATTAAAAAAATAGTTTTAATAGATTTACAAGCCCTCAAAGTACATAAAAAAATATTTAAAAAAGGACAGCTTTAAAAAAATTCTACCTTTTCTAGCTTTCATAAATTAATATGAATAAAATGGAGTCAGACACAAAATTTTCAGGGCTGAAAAACAATATTAAACACCAAAACCAAATCAATTACACCCACTCCAAGTAACAACAATGCAAAGCCAAAATCGTGCTTTTGTTCAGCGTTTTATCTTCAACTCTGATGTAAGCAGGTGCCAAACATAAGGCGCTGGGGCCAGAATCAGCCCAGCAAAGACTTCAGTCCCGCCCACTGGATGGCTTTGGGAAATGTGACAGAGAACAGAGATTTTGGATTTTAACTCTATTTTCAGAAGTTTTGTACTTTTTCCTGCAGTTACTGATAAAGACCTCCTCCACGGCCATTAATAGTACACCAAAGTAATTAAGTCATAAACATTTAATTCTTTAAAATTAAGCCCAAAGAGTTATATTGACAGATTTCTGTTAAAATTGCACTTCTTTTTTTATATATAAGAAAACTCAGGGATTAAATGTGTAGTTTAACTACTGTACACCGGCAGAGAGGACATATCACTGATCACTGATTAAAGTGGGCTGGATGCGGACCGTGATGTTTGACATCCCTGATGCAGAGGAACGGAAATGAGCACTGGTACCCTGAATGCTTTATTACTGGAGGAAATCTGAAAAAGTGCATATGGTAAATTCTTTTGTACTTCAATCGCATGTAACTCGCAAAATCTTCTTAGCATGCAGGTCAAGTTTAGCGTGGCTTCATGAAATAGACTAACTGACCTTTTCCAGCTGAACACTCACACTGAGCTTCTTTTATTCATTTTCCACCACTTGTTTGTGCCTGAAGTGGAACTTTATCTAAAGTAATTCCTGAAGGTTTGCTCACCCTCTCCTCTGGCGTAGCATCCTCCTCCAGACTGTTGAGGGCGTTCTCCACTCTGGCCAGGCGCCCCGACAGGGACAGCAGAAGGCTCACCACTTTATCCAGGTCCCCCACAAACATCTTGAACTTGTCCAGCTCGTTGGGTTTGCAGACCTGCTGGACCTGGGCTTCCACCTCTTCTCCCAGAGCGTTGTTGTCCAGGATGTCCTCCTGAAGACTCTCCCGGGCCTCCCGGAGCACCTGGAGCTTCTTGCTGAGGCTGTCGATCAGCTCTTGCTGCAGAAAAAGATGAAGCTGAGAGATTAGTCCAAAACAGTGCGAAGGGTAGTGCTTTTTAACAAGCAAACACTGGTTTCTGGTACCTTCTTATTGGCCAAATCATTGTCCAGCTCATCTTCAGAGTCCTCCTCCTCCTGCTCCTGGTCCTGCATGCCCTTCATCTTAATAAGGAGCTCAGCTTTGGGAGCAGATGTGCTGTAATATGCAGAGCTGGTCACCATCGAGGTAGCTGCTGCCACGTTGTCCTCCTTTTCTCTGAAATAAATTCAGTAAGAAACTCAGAAATGCAGAAAAGCGTGAAAAGAGCATTTTCCAGGAAGTTTCACCTCATGACTAACAAGTATATGCAGACACACTCATCAGTTTGAACAAGGTGTGTTAAACAGGTAACAGGTCACAAGTTTAAATATGCCATAAAAGCAGCTTCACGACTGCAAAGATGATGGGAGTCAGCGCTTTTTCATGTGGGTGCTTGCTTGTAAGTAAAAAGTTAAAATTGATTACAGGAGCAGTTTTGTAGCGAGGGGAATACAAACATTTAAAGGGACAGTTCACCCCTGCATCAGATTTGCAGTTAAGTCTGTAAGTATGGGAAAAATGAAAGCTTTTTTTGCACACTAACACGGAGCAGAGTGAGGTTATTAAAGCTGTAATCATGAAAAAAAAAAAAATCATTTCTTTTCCAGACATCTCTACAGCCAATGACTTTAACACTGGGCAACTCGAACCAAAGCCTGAAAAATTTCATTGTGCTGCTCAGAGCTTCAAATCACATTTCCAAGCATCACAAAACTAAAGATGAAGCACTGTGATTTGCTTGGTTATGCAAATTCTACAGTAACACATTCAGTAACAGTAACAGCCACTGCTCTGTTATAGCTTTAAATTAAAAGACCATCATCTGCCGTCTGAGCTTCTCCTGCTGGTTTTATCACACAAGAGGATTTTTTCCATCCTTCTTCCCTTTTGTAGTTAATACAGCTGCCACTCCTTTTCCTGTTCAAGCCAACTTTTCAACCAATCAGCATTCTGCCTGCACGCGGACTCTATAATCATCAATAATTTACTTTTACAAACACATGAAGCAGTGCAGAGAAGACAAGGAGGACAGGAAGTTGGATACAAGAGGTGTTTTTTCAGATTTAAAAAAAAAAAAAAAATCCAGTACAGGCTTAAAGCTCCTAAAACGCTACCAGTGCGACATGAAGTGACACCAAAAACAAAACTGTGTCAGAGATGCACTGAAAGGCCTGAAAGTTGATTGTTCAAGACAGCTACTCAGCCAATGAAAGTGAAAGACAAGTTGACCAAATTAAAAATAAAAAAATTAATTCAAAAATTAAAAGTTCACAGACGCTGTTGGTAGTGGTCAGTTCCACTCCATTATGATTGAATCATTTCTGCTGTCTTATCTGCAGTGGAACGAGGCTAAAGAACCAACAGCCCGGTTCTTCCGCATTCTTCTGATACTGCCCCCTGGTGACAGCATACACGAGTAGCACCTATGGATGACCTCGATGCTCACCTTTCCTCAGCGGGCCGGGAGTTTGTCTGCTTCGGCTGCACCTTCCTGCGCTGGTGAGCTTCTTCCACCAGCTGCTCCCCTTGAGGGAAGATGCCCTCCATCAAGTCCATTGTGGTCTTCATCTTGCTCTGATCCAGAATATCTGCTAGTGACTTATCCTTCCCCATGATGTCCCTAGCCAGCTCCTCTCTTTTCTGATCCTCTGCCTTGGACACTCCTGTGTTTGTCGCCAATTTATTGCTGCTGGACACGTCTGTGGGTGGCGGCGGTTGGAGGTGATCTCCTATAGTGGTCATGTATGTGTCCCTCTGGGGCATCTGTTGCTTTTGAGGGTGTGGGACCCCATCGGGCTCCTTCTGCCTGGTGAAGGCGCAGAAGACAGAGTCCTGACCTGCAGCTCCGAGGCTGCCGAGCCGAGTCACGGCGTGCCCCTCTGCTTCAATGGCAGGGGGGCTGCTGTGCTGCAAAAACGGTGTATTTTCCTTCTCTGCATTTCCTCCCGAGTGCACAATCCTGATGGGCACTTTCCTCACTGCAGAGCTTTGGTTTTCTATCACATGCTCCATCCTGCAAGAGAGAGGGAGAAGAAAATTTCCACTTAGACAAGAAGAAAACGTCCTGTTGTGGTTCTCTCAGCCATGAGCTGATTTAAAGTTTCATTGCATGATGGCAGAGGAGATTTTTTCCATGCCCAGTGTGCTCAGATATCCGAGACCTCTGGACTCCTCCCACCACTTTCTGTGGTACTGTACAGTCATACGTTTGCTACAGATGATATCAATTAGGTCCGAATCAAGAAAATGAACAAACAGTTTCATGTTTGGGGCTTAAGAAATGGAGGCGTTTACATTTTGAGCAGAATAATCTCAGAACTGCTTGTGCCCTGCATTGAACTACAGAGAATCCCTCTAATTTACTGTGCCTTGATAGCACTCACATGTTGACTCTACAGAGGCAGCGACTCTCAATGAGCCCCTTTGTACTTGAAGCATAAAGACGCGATGAGCGGAGGAGTTACAGTAGCTGTTCAGAATGTTGTGCAGCTTTGAAATGTGTGGGGGGAAAAAAACCCCAAACGTTACCTGTTTGAGAATTCATCCTGAAGAGAGACCGGAGGCCTGTCGCTGAGTCTCTGTGGGGAAAACTGAGGAGATGGTGAGCGGTGCCCCTCCATGCTGGCCAGCCCTGAAGGTCTGTAGGAGGACGCAGAGGGAGAGGCTGAGAGATGATGTCCTGCCCCTTGTCCTTTGCCCTGCTCAGAGTCTCCTTTAACAGCGTGGGTGTGGTTGAAGGCGGAGTTATGATCAGAGAGGTTTAAGCCTTCACTCTGGGAACCGGCGGAGGACTCGTGGGAGTCGACCTCTGGGCATCTGGGTGGAGGCAGAGGGTTCTCTAGTGCAGGGGGCTTTCTCCAGAGTCCAGAGTGCGGGTCTGTGTGACTGTGGTCCTCAGGCTGAGGGGGGGCAGTCTCTGTGAGGTCGAGAGAAATAGGTGTGGGTCTGTGGCTGAGGGTGGCAGCAGCAGCTCTGTGTCTGCAGTCGGGGTCTGCTCCCGTCATGGGAGGAGGGGGTGGCGCTGAGTAATGTTCAAACTCTGCAGGCTTGTTTCTCACTTTACAATCACCTGGAGCTCTGTCAGGGAACCTGAGGAACACAAAGGAAAGCTTTTAATTACACAGCCAGGCAGCGTGGGCTATCATCAGCAGCTCAATCAAATAATACGCTGTGGCAGGGGCCTTGTTCTCCAGCAGCCACTATCATTACACCAGCACGACAAGACACACGTCTCTCCCTCTTTCTGCGGGTAACTGTTCAGCTGGCAGCCTGAGGAGGAATATTTCAGTTTCCACAAAGCCTGCAAAGAGGAATAAATAATCCTCTAGAAGCAGAAGAGCACTTTTTTCCCCCTGCCTCATTCATATTTGGAGTTTTAACTCCTTGGAGTGGAAACAGTGGAGGAGGAGAACGTGATGTGTGGAGGTCTTCAGAGAGCTGAAGGTGATTATAAACAGATTTAAACTTGTAGGTGTTTATCATTAAGTATGATTCGACTGTGCAGTGCAGAGAAAACAGGTTATTAACAGAGCCATTATATACTGGGTGCGATTTGCAAGGCTGCATGGAGAGGCATGAAGAGGCGTGGGGATTCCCCCCATCTGCCTCTGCAAAATTATTTTTTATCACAGGAATAATAAAGTATAATGTAGTCACTTAACAGTTGATGTCCGTTGGTCCGTTTTCCTCTGCCAGGTTGTTCAAAAAATAAACTTAATATGTAATTTTACCAGAAGACAGACTGCCTCTTTGGTTTTCCATGGTTATATTTGCACCACAGAAGCAAGGTTTTCAGCAGCCACTGCACTGACATACTGACACAAAGTATGAGTGAGTGAACAGAACAGCCAGATCATACACAGCGACAACCCGGCAACCAATTAACTTCAGTCCAACTTCAAGAGCAATGTTGGTTCTCGGTGATCCAGGTCATGGGAGCTTGGAAAGAAAGTGACTGGACTTCTTCAGGTTTCTTAAAGACCTTTCGGTAAGGCTGCTTTAGGTGACGGTTGTTGCGAACTTGTGCTACATAAAACGAAATTGAAGGTTTCAGCTCCATTTAAAAGCTTTTGGTACAGATTACGATTTTTTTTTTTAAATTTATTTATTTATTTTTTACACGTGTGTAGAGAGATGAGAGGGACCAGCCCCAAGCAGAGAACTGAGTGGTTGACGTTTTAGCAGCAGCACACCGAGAGCATCGCCATACATGCTTCCCACTGTCAACCTGATTTAATCATGTCTGAATGCCTTCATCACGCACACATGATTAAAGCATGCAAACATCTAGCTGTAATAGTGTGGTTTCCTGCACATAGATTACATTTCCATACATGCTCCAATACAACCTTAATGCGGAGCATTCAGACAACACTGACTCATACCATGCAGCTTTAATCTGCCATTGTAAGATAAAATGCCACTCCAGGTGGACAGGCAGACGCCGTAACTCAAACATCCCAATATGAACCCATACAAGCTGCAACAAGTTGCACGATGAACAACTGCTTCCACCGGGCAAAGTGTGAGAACGTGGTACGCTGGTAAAAAAAATAAAAATAAAAATATGTAAAACTGAGGTATGATTTTTTGTCTTTCACTTATTTTATATTTTTAATTATTTTTTATTTTTGTTGCTTTGGTGAAATTTTGATCTAATGACCTAAAGCTTCAAGGTGCATTTATTTAAATTCTTCACAGTCATTTATTTTGGTTTTTAATGAGTTTTTTTTTTAGTTGTCATCTTTGACAAACTGTAAATAATCATAATCAAGTGCCACCACCCCACAGCCATTTTAATGTCTCAGGGCAGTTATTTTGAAGCATTTACTTTTTAAAAAGGTTTTTAAAAGGTAACATTTTAGTGTGAAAGACTGAGTAAATGTCTATCACATCTCACCATTATTATTATTATTTATTTATTTATTTTTTTAAAATGGGGGTAAAAGAAACATCCAAATATCAGTATAAATACATAAACTTCTAAATAAAGGTAACACAGAGTCTCTGGCTTGACTTAATTATGTTTACATATAGAGACACCCACCAAAGAGCAGGAAAAACCCTGCTCATGTGTACCATAAGTTTTAAAAGGTATTATTCTTTATAATTTAGAGTATCTGCCATAGATAAAGAAAACATAAACGGACCCATTAAAAATGATATATTCCTTTACAAAGTGTAATAAATGACATCTGCTACTTTAGCTTGGTCACTTTAGGGCTAAAACAGACAAATACGTATTAAATAACTCACCCAATGTGACGCTTTAATCTCGTCATTTCCACTGAACTGAAGAAAAAGTGAGTGTCTGTCTCTCTGTGACAGAAGGCACCTGTTGGTGTCTCTTTACACTTGTATCAGTAACAATAACTGGGTGGAGCACGGATCACTTAAGTCATCTCGCAGACTATCAATGACAATACCACCCTCTGAGCCGTGGTTGTTATGGAAACGTGAGAGGTTGCTCAACATCGGATACTCGACACCCCCATGAGAGTTTAGGTAGTGACAAAAGACTCCTGAATAACTGGTTACAAAGCATGAAGTCACCCTCCCCACGTCACCATACATGGCTCAAAACTGAATCATAATAATCAGAGAAACCTTTCAAAACTACTGACTGACCTTTTTAAAATGATCCCATCTTGAGCTTCTATAATAATTAAAGCTAAACTACAATATTTTAGTTTTACCATCCATACATTTGAGGAAGGACGTGACGGGCGGGATGTAGCTCGTGGAAAAACACGAAACAGTCAAAGCAGTGGATTTGCTGATAGAGAAGGACAGGTGGAACAGGTGACGCTACATTTGAGCATTTTACACAATATATCAGAGTCATCGAAGGAGAACTCGTCAACTGTCACCAGCAACACAAACAGTCACCAAGGAGCGGGATTAATCAGTCATTAATCCATTTTAGCAAACACACAGACAGACATCGACAGACAGCTTTGCAGGATTATGAAGCTTAAATATAAACATACTGTATGACACATAATATTTCCACACTTACTTACAATGGAGAAATTTGTGTCTATATATTTATTAACTATATACATAACTTAATCAGTCCCCTGGTCCCTGTCACACTCAGAGGTGATTAGTTAGAGAAAAAGGACATAAATATGATTTCTTAAGTTATTTATTTTGTTCATTATGTACTTAAATCGCACAAATTCATTTCATGGTGGAATTCAGTAGCTGTAATAGCTGAGATATCCCAGTCTGGATATTTGTGTTGCACCAAACAGTCCTGCATTCTCAGAATCACACAGCTGGAACTGACAAAAAACCAGTTATGCAGACTGGCAGATCTTATCGATGATAATGTCATGCCTTCGAGCTGGCCCCCTGCACTCCGGGCCCTCATATATTCCCATGCAGGGCTGAAGAAATGCTTTATTGCCGTCACGGACACTTTCAGATGCCTCGCCTACACCGCTAAGCCTCCACTAAACGACACAATAGTCAGCCAGAGAGACGGCTTATGTTGTTACAGCTGCGCCCAGACAGCGCCACTGTTAACAGATTATAAAGACTTCAGTGTTCCCCCAAAAGCTCTGTGCCCTCTTTTACTGATAACGCTCATGAGCATAATAACACGAAGATGGTGCGGCAAGAGCAAAACAAGTATTCAATGTTAAATTGTTCACTGAAGATAATAATTTTACAACATTAGCCTGTGAGATAAGCATTGATGCAAATACATGTAAGAACACCAATTGTTCTGCTGGTGCTGTATAGTGGAGATAACACCAGCCCAATGCCATAGCTGGCATATTTTCATGACATTTTACCAAAATCTTTATAGAAGCATGTTTTGCCATTTGGTAGCCATGTTGAAATGCCCCGAGACCCTTATTTGAGCAGCCTTATTATCTAGAATAATGATTTTAAAGATCACTGATACACAAAATCTGCACAAACAGTCATTATACAGCTTTTTGAAAATTAGTAACGCATTTAAAATAACACCATCCATCCACCCATTCACTCTGATCTGCTTATCCAATTTAGGGTCGCAGAGCCTACCACAGCTACCACTGGGCAAGAGGCAGGTACACCCTGGACAGGTCAGCAACCTGTCGCAGCGCTGACACATTAAAATAACACAAAGTGTAATTTAGTCTTGGTGTGAGTATGGGAATATTTCACAACTCCTGCATGCCTATATCGTCTAAGTGTGGTTATTTCACTACATTAAAAAAATGTGTGTTCAGGGAGATTGAAATAGTGACTGAGTATTTCACAAATGATAATCACTGTTTTAACTGTATTAACTGTATTAGTTGTGTACCCCAGTATAACCCAAAAAACTAACTTACTAAAAAACTTCTAAAATACCAAAAATATTAAACAATAACTGCTTTAGCTTAAGATATTATGGGTTTGGGCTAATCTGTCAACACAAGACAATCTCAGGAGGCCTTAGAGGAGACCATTCCTGATACTGGGAGGTCTATATGACTGAGAGTCGAGTGTTTGCACTACCTGCTCTCAACTTAAATCAGCCCCAGAAAAATAAACTCCCCAGATTATAATAAAAAAGTCAACCAAAACTAAACACCATTAAAACGATAAAGACCAAACAGAAACTAGCAAACCCACTCTGGAAACCAACAACGAATTGAAAACAATTAAATCATTAAAATCTAAATAAAAACACAAAACATATAATATCAGTGTTGTAGAATCAACAGCCAAATCTGATTAAAAACTATTCATGCATTGCAGCCTTTGACCCAAAACAAGACCTCTAACAAGCCTTTTCCCCGACAGGAAGTTGCTACTTTATCACCACTTTTGCTGTTGCCTAATTCTCACACAGCTTTTAATTCAGGATTCATCCAGTGCCATGATATCGCTCTTTCATAACGTCTTTGGATTTACTCACCATGTGTCAGAGCTGAGTGGTTCAGCAGGTTTACTCTCCGGCTCTGAATACTCTGCCTCTGACTTCTTTGCAGGAACTGGAATCTTCTGTAAATAAAGTCGAACAAATGCATTTATGCACAAACATCCACGGCAGACAGGCTCCCAGGTATCCCAGAGGCTTAACTTTTTCTTTCGATAATTATTCAAACCAACTCATGATGCTGCTTCCTGGTTTCTCACCAGTGAAAGGGTTGCCCCTTTCTCTTGCTTAAGTTGAGGGTGTGCCACTAAGAATAAACATGGATTAATATTTGACTTGGCTTCTCTTTTGTCGCTGTACCTTCAGTCAGCACTTTTGCTCTTAATGAGATGTAAAGGCCACCAAGAGGGTTTGACACACCAGGGACTTCAAAATGACGAAAAGAATTTCGTGCATTGATAATTCTATCTTAACAAAAGTTACTCTGAAATCATGGACCTCGTGAGATTTCATGCCTCACCTGTTCGTAGACTTCTGTAGATGTAGACGATCTGAACCTCTCATGGGAACAGGTGGTTCTGGCTCTCTCCTCGGTTCCTGGATCGAGTATGTTATCAGCTGACTTGTACCGTCCAGAGACCCTTTTCTCTGAAGGTTTCTGAGGTGTATTCCAGCTGGCCTCATACTCGGCAAACGTGCCCAGTCTTTGCTGGTCTTGGATGGACTCCTTTTGTGTAGAAACTCTGAAGGCCTCCTCAGCGTAATCTCTACCTTTGATTCCTTTCATTGCATTCTCTGTTGCACCAACAGAGGCGGGTTCTCGACTTTGGCGCTTGATATGGCTCTCAAGGGGCATGTGGTGAGGTAGACCTGGTTTCTTAACGTCTTCAAAGAGTTTCTGCTGGTCTAATGAGGAGCTTGTATTATCACTTGGAGCGACACCCTCTTTCGTCCCCACTTTGTGAATTTTGTCTGGTTCAGAGAAAGACTTAACTTTCTTTTCTGCAGGAAAATGCTTTCGACCACCAGTGCGAGTCACCTGACCTCCTGAATGGCTCGTTGCTGACTCTGTGACAGCTGGCAGAGGCGTGACATCTTTGCGAGCATGTGCCGAGGATGGGTAGTTAGGTAAAGCCTCAGCATTAGAGTGCTCTGGTAAAACTAGCTCCAGGTCTCTCCTCCTGAAAGATGTAGCCTTGAGCACCCTCTCTTGCACTTCCTTCAGGTGGTCCTTGTAGGAGCTGGAGGAGGAGGTTGGAGTTGTACTTTCGGTGGACTTCCGGATGTCCTGATCTTCTTTAGCCTGACCCTCAACCCAGGGGAGGACAGCCGCACTTTTACTTTTCTGCAGCTTTGCTCTTCTCATCTGGATTTCGTTTCTCAGTGTGGTGGCAAAGCGGTCGTCGCGCTTTAACTGCTTAGCTTCAGTGGACTCGTCAGAAACTGCACCGCCTCTTCCTCTATCATCTTGCCCTGCGACATCCAAAGACAGTGAGTGGAGCATGGGGTTGGCCTGGGGGGAGATGTTGTTGCTCTTTTGGCTGTCGTGCTTGACTTCTTGGGGCAGTTCTCTGTGCTGCAGTGGTAGAAGCCGGCGCTGTTCAGACTGACTGCTGTGCCGAGATTCTTCTGTCTGTGTATTGTGCCCTCTCTGGCCTCCCCAATCTTCTGAGCCCGTTTTAAGTGCCGGGTTTTCATGTACACTAGTGACTTGGTGCTTGCTGTACCCATTGGTGTCTTTAGTGTGTGAGTGCTGCTGCTGTTGGGGCAGATGATACTTCACTTTAGCAACCGTCAGCGGACTGTGAGAGGTTCGCTCATTTCCAGTCTGTGGCAGATATGTCGCACAGCCCCTGTCCTCTGGTATTCCTGACAAAGACACAGGGTTCGGCTGTGTGGGCTGGCATGTAGTCACACAGTAGTAACGGCTGTGCCCGCTGCTCTCTGTGTTTTGGTCAGGGCCTGTAGAGGAACTTAAGTTCTTTCTCTGGCTCTGGCCAGTGTGTTGCGTTGAACCGTTAGCAGATACCTCCTGCATGCTGTAATAGTACCCACCTACGTTCTTTGGCTTTGGTGCAGAAGTAGCCCAAGGCTGAGGATGAAAAGTGGTTTTCTCGCTGTGGTGTCTTTGATGGTAAGGTTGGTTAACATGGGTGGGCTGCCGAACATCACTGGAGTGGGAATACCGTTTGTTTGAAGTGAACTGGTCCTGATGGGATTTTTCAGACTGAAAGTAAAAACTGTCATGGTCGTTCTTCGGGGAAATGTTGTGACAGCGATTTTCACATGAAGCTCTGGATTGCAGGTGGGAATCGATTCCTTCGGGGTGAGCAATCATCAGCCCTCTTTCATGGACTTTAGTAGCAGCAAAACTATCACTGCGTGTGGGTGGTGGTGGAGGCGGAGGAGAAGAAGAAGCAGTTTTCTTTTTCTCGGGGACGTTCCAAACAGGCCCAAAGCTGGTTCTACTTGAAGTTGAATGGTGGGAACCAGCCGGTTCCTCGGTCTGTGGACCATCGCAGCCTGAGCTGACGCCTGGCATCTGAAAATACGTGAGCCTGTCATCCTGTCTGACTCCCTCTGCAGCCAGGCTGTGGCCATTTCTGCCACTGCTGTTGTGCTTTCCTCCCCCCTCCCACTGCCCGACTTTGTAGACCATGTTCTCTGTTGAAGCAGCATTGCTTTTTGAGAGGGTGTAGTCCGGCGTGCTGGAGCTGGTGGAGAAAGAGCTGTAGGCCGAGTCCCTTTTCCCTCCTCCGAGTTGCTCCATGCTGTTGTTTGATTTGGCGTGTGAGAGCTGACCAGCGGCGTATGGGTGTGACACATGCTCTAGGCTGTCCATGCTGCCGTGAGAGCTGAACTGGTCGGACACTCTGCGCAGGTTTGTTTGCTCCCAGCTGGTGGAGAGATTGGCCGATGACGAGCTAGAGGTTAAGAGAAATGACAGATTTTTGAACAACTGGTTTTTCAGCTGTGTAAGTTTGCCGTTAATAATAAAGGGATCTAAATCTGTACCACTATGTAACCTGTTCGTTTTATCACATTTAGATGTAGTTAATTATAAGCTTTTTGGACACCAAACAACACAGACACACAAGTAAACACAGATCAAACACTTTATCTTAAAACCTGTTAAATATACATTATTTGAGCCATTTGCTACATTCAGGCCAATTGAATCTCAGGTGGGTCCAGCACAAAGTAGCATGATGAAAGAAAGACACTTTGGCGGCCTGGTTCTGGCTCCTGCACCACATGCTTGACACCCCTGCCTTATTGTGTATTTGGCCTTTCGGTGTAGGGGTATAATGTGAGACTGGTCTACATCATGACTATTGCTTGAAATGCTAAAACTAAATACAAAAATAAATTAATCCAATTTTAATTTCTTTTTTATTTCCAATAATAAAAAAAACAACTGAGATAGAAAGCATTTGGTGCTTCGTGTGTTCATTTTCACTATGAAGCTCATGTTTTTTTTCTTATGTTACAAATCAAAAGCAGCCCTTTCTGTTCAGCACATCTATGAAAGGTCACTCACTGGATGTTTAGTTCGGCTTAAGCCAAACATCACTAAAAAAGAGCCTTCTGTCACCAAGATCTATCTAGAAGACAAACCTTTCAAGGTTTTCAAGGTATGTGGGCCAGTGAAAGGATTGACGATCTGCTACCTGCAGCTGTGTCTCCTATTCTCTCAGTATCTTTGACCATCTTTAGGTGGTAATAGCTTCGGCTCTGCCACTCAAACCTTGACACCATGGAGGTCTCCTGTGGTGAGTGAGTCATCGGGTCTGGTCCTCTCTTCGTCCTTGTCGGCACCTTAAAACATCCTTCAGCAGAGGCAGGCTGGCAGGTACTCATAGCTGCCCTCATGAGACAGACTCTTAGCCTGGTCTTCACTCTTTGTATGTTGGGTTGTACCAGTGTCTTCCACCAAAGCTACTACTTTTAATGTATTTGTTTTGCATTTAAAATATATTTAAAACTAAGCAAAGTCCCAAGTAAAAAAAGAAATATTTTACAGTTTAGGTTTTTTGCCTCATAGCTCCACTCTGTAAATGAGGTTGCACATTTCAGGGGCTTCATCACTTGCTTTATAAAGGATTGTTTGTGAAATTTCTTCGTTGAAGTTTAATTTTTGGGTTTCTTTTAAACACTGAAAGATAAATTTAGTGGGGAAAATTTCTTTTGGAGTGGTTTTGCTGGTCAGGCCCAGTTGAGATCCAATTGGGCCCATGAACAAAAACGGGTTTGACGCCCTTGATTTAGAGCTTGCAGGACACGAAGCACATAATCACATACTGCTGATCAAAAGTGCTTATGTGCAACATTCAGAGTCTGAGGTACCTTGCATCATAGTGAGCGTGCCAGACTGCCGCGGGTGGAGACTGTGTTTTGGCAGTCCCTGGTTGGCTTTCATTGAACTTGGTGGAGTGCCAGGAGTGAGGCCTACTTATAGGTTCATTCCTCCTGCAGAGAGGGCAAAAAACACAGACTAGGATTAGAGACCAAATCCTTATGGAAAACAGTATGTGCTTCCACATAATGAGCCACTACAACTGGAAGATGCTGCTAAAGCCACTAATGTGACCCAATAAGCAAAAACATTGCACATTTTGTGTAAGGTTGGATGTTTTTTAAATCACACTGGAGTCAGACTTCTGCTGCGATATGTTTTTTTCATTCTGCTGAAACACGAGAGCCAGGCCTGATTGTTCAGAGGTGAAACCACTCATTACACCTTTAATGGTCTTCACCCCGAGTTGAAATTTAAATAATAAAATGGTCGGGAGTGAGCACTATGATTAGTCACTAAAGTTTTACAAAGAGGGACAATCAGTTATGTGAATATGTGAAGCAAAAATCGCAGCTGTTGCAGAAATAAATCACTTTTGGGGAAAGAAAAATCATTCATAGGTGTCTACACTATCGTGAACCAACTAATTTCAGTCATTAAAGCTCTGCAAAAAGGCCTGAAGTACGCCCATCTCTGTCCTTGAAGGTTTGGGTCTGTACAGGCCCCAAACCACCTTCAGTAAAGGAGATATCCACATTAAAAAAAAAACAAAAACAAAAAAAAAACATGCAAGCTTTTCTTAAAATCTATTTTACACCCACTCCAAGTGTCACAATCTAAAGCTAAAACCTGGTTTCTGAAGTTTTCTTCAACAAATTATTAGGAAAAAAAGGAAACTTAAAAGTATCATTTCAACCTAAGCTATGTACTTTGAGTACCTATAACTCAGGAAATCTTAATTATATGAAGGCAAAGTTTAGTTTAATTAAATATACTAAAGTTAATTTACAAAAAAAAACAAACCCCAAACAAACTGTGTTTCTTTGGGAACTTTCTTTAGATCTGACTGATTTTATATAGAGTGAACACCCTTCCCTCCACTATGACTGACAAGGCATGAATGAAAAGCCACTCACTCTCCTCCAAGAGCAGCACCCTGGCTATTTGCTGGTTTTGCCCAAAACAATCAGCTCCCTGCTTGCTTTTTATTTTTTATTTTTAAAAACAACAACTATATAGCAGTTATATATCCTATAAAAGCCACTTTGCAGCCTTCGTTCCTCGAGTTGGGCTCAGTTAAATCCAGAGGTGATGGAACTTTGACCATCAGGACCCCTCAGCTGTGGAACGACCTGCCTGAAGAGGTAAGGCTCAGAGAATCAGTAACAACCTTTAAGCCTGTTCTTAAAATCACAGCTTTCTCATTTGTTATGCATGTCGTCGTCCTTCTCATTGAGTGTATTCATCATTTTCAGTTTTCTTCCTACACGTATCGGCTCGGTGTGATTTTTCTGTTTGAATCTACACCTTGAGTGAGCTGCTGCTTGTCTGTCAAACTATTACTTCCCTGATTAACCAGATATTTATATTTATAAGGAACCTATATATATAAGGAACCTACCCTTTTAGGTGCTGCTTTCTGAGATCCATGTCACAAATCAAACAAACATGAAAAACAACAAAGTTTCATTAATTGTATTATCAGTTACTAGCAGATAATGAACTGCATGCTGTATGAATGGGTTGAACATCATTCATCTAATGAACAACAACACAGAAAGGCATGCCGATGGGTGCAGATAGACTTTCTATGAGAGCAGTAATAAAAATCACTACATATATGATTTATGTGATTATGGGCACAGGGCAGACAAAAAGGAATGGAAGACAGGAGAGGAAGAAAAGAAAATGTTCACTATGGATTACAATGAAGCTGCAGGTTCGTACCTCATGGAACTTCGCAAAATCTTCGTAAGAAAGCTTCTCGCCACAAGCACGTCATTCTCTGAGGGCATTTTCTGAGCTACAATATCCACCATTTTCATATTCCTGGGCAGCAAGGGGAGGAACACATACACACATACTAAGAGCTCGACTGGCATACACAGGACAACCTCACACTTAGAGGGCAGTGTTTCACAAACTGAGCAGGACAAGTGATCCTGAACCTTCAAATGACCCCCAGCCCTACTTCACCTACAACTTTTATTTACATGTGTACAAACTGTAATGGACACATTGGTGTGGCATGGATATGGGAAATTTGTGTAGGGTCAAATATATTTATGCTTTTATCATTATAGGCTTTGATTTTTGTTGTAATTTTTCCCCTTCTAGTCACTGCATTTTTATGTTGTGCTGCAAAAGCTTACAGGCAGAAATGAATGCCATTAATGTGGATATATGAAACTTATAAAAAGACGGTTATCTTTTTGATTATATTGTTTTAATCGTCAGTGGAAGCCAAAAATCATAATAATATAAAAATATAATTATAATTAATGGGAGGTATTATTTATCACTGAGTATTCTCATAGGCAGGACAGCCGAGGAACGTGTATTACAGCTCTGGAGACACCTGCTGATATGTAGTGTTAGAGCCCCCTCTACTGGTCAAAAACTGATGACACTGTCACAGCATGAGCATGCTCAAAGTCTGGGCATGTGCATGAGGTCATATCTGGTCACGATGGAGAGAAAAGTACATTACAGAGCAAATGCAGTTTCACTGATCAGTCATTGGGCTCATTATGTGAGCGTAGCTGAGGTGAGCTCAGACTTTGCCATATGGTCTGTGAGGGAACAGCAGCCCAGCATGGGGTGGGGGCGCTTAAGAGGACAGACGATCTCTTACACAGTCAGATCAGCCTCTTCACCCCTCAATCCAAGCTGTCGTCTGCCTCCCAGACCGCCTCTCTGTCCCTACTGAGGTTAAACTGACACAGTTTGACAGGAACGAGGAAATGAGGAGAACCTTGTAGTTACACCTGCGGTTGTTAAAATAACTGAGTGTAATAACAATCTGGAAATTTGTGTCAAATGAGCCAAAACACTAAACTCAACCTATAACAAAACAGCTGAAATAGAGGAATCACGATAACTGTGACTTTATATGATATAGATGGTGTTACTAATGCTCAAGATTTTTAAGACCGATGCAGATATTTGGCATCGAAAAATATTACAGGCTGATTATCACTCGTTTATGTTTCATGTGTTCAGACACAAGAAACGTAACAGTCGTTGTTTGTAGTTGTTCGCTGACTTTTATCTAACCTCTACCCTGTTTTGGGAGGCAGGTCTAGCTAACAACTCGTTGACCCTAAGATGAGGGAAACTCAGGTTTTTGTTACAGAAAGATTTACCTTTAATTCTGAGTCAGTTACCATGGTAACAGAGTCTAAAGTAAAGCTGCAGTTTTGGCCCCATTTATAATGGTTTAATTCTTATTTAAAATAGCTCATCCTCCCACAACTACAATGGAATATTTAAAATATATACAAGCTTAGACATTTCTTACAGCATGTTTTCTTTTACTGACAAAACTTTAAATTCATTAAAGACTTGGAAAGCCAATCTGCATTTTTTCAGTTAAATGTGAAACTATTACTGAACTCTTCACTCCTAAAACATCTCTGGTATGGCTGTAAGAGAGCCATCATCAATCAGTGAAGGCTGATGTTGGATCAGATTGGAAATAGTTCTTATTTCAATCTCATGAAGCTTTTTTATCCTCACTGGATAATTACTGGAACAACAAAATGGTAATAACCTGTAGCAAAAATAACTTTTACCTAATAAAAAAAACCTGACGGGAGGGCAAATCCAACCCCGAGCTGCTGTTGCCATCTCAGCAGCTAATACCACAGGGCCGTCAGTAAACTGTGTCTGATGAGTTTCTCCAGATTTTATCTTCAGTTTCTGTCACCTACATTTTGTCCCTCTCAGGTTACAGCTGAATGATTAGATTTAGAAATTAAATGTTTCATCTAATGAAATTTCAAGTTGAGCAAAACCCCTCATATTATATTATGGTCAGCACTGATACGGTCTGCTGGAAGGCTCTGTTCTAGCAGGGCTCTATTTATGACAGCTTTCCCTACCTACTCTCACATGTGCTTAACTCATGGTGAAGATACAGTTGACTGTTACTTAATTGAGTTAATTAACTCAGAGTTTGTTAAACATGCTTCCTGGACACAGATCACATCATTTATCAGTCTTTATAATCGCTGATATTGATAGACCTGTAAATTCCTAATACTGACCCCGCAATGAATTGGCTGGGCTCTAATAAAACTAAACAACTGTGCAGCTGTGCTTTTTGTTTTCTCTCATTATTCTGCAATTTTTGCCAATTTGCTAAACAAAAATGTGTTTTTGGTTGAAACATATTTTTATAGGTGAGAATAACATCATTCAGTGCTCCTCAGCAATGCAGTTGTAGGCTACTAATAAAGTTTGAGTTGGTAAAAATATTCTCAAATATTACACGAGAAACCAAACAAAACATTTTGATGTTACTGGTACTGCCTGAACTCTGGGGACAACAAACTTTTTCTGTCATTTTTAAAGGACGCGTTTGCTGAATCAGGGACTCAGGACTTCTGGGTTAGAAAATCCATTATCCATCTATCAACTGATGGAGTTTAACACTTCATCGTGTTTTAATTCACTTATTCAATGTGTTGCACTTTGTCTACTTCCAGTATGGCTCTCTGGAAAATAATGTTCTGAACTCTGTGCTAGAAACCTTGGGGTCAATGGTTTCTGCCCCTTAAGTCACTTTGCTCTCAGCAGTGTGATGGCAAGTGATTCAAACAGCAACTTCCTTCAGACGGAGACATGAAAACAATTTTCATAACCTAAGCTTTTATTTTTGCACTCTGCACTCTTTTTATAGATTGAGATTTAAGGTTAAGCTCAATAAAGTGGGACGATTCCACAAAATTAATTGTGGATTAGAGTTAAGGCCTATTTAGAGGACAAAGAAAAGCCAACACGGGGGCTCGGTCTTCCTCATCTCCCATCAGTCCATGTTTCTGGGGCACTAGCTGCTAACCACACATGGCGCCTGCTATTGGTATGCAAATGAGGCTGGTTTTATTAGGCCTATCGTCAGGGCTACAGCTGGACCAGCACAGATATGCTTGGAAAGTGAATCAGATGGCAT